TAATGACTGTTTCTTATAATACGTCTTCTTATAATTAATGTTCGTATATTATGTCTTCTTATAATGACTGTTCTTCTAATACGTCTTCTTGCAATTAATGTTCGTATATTATGTCTTCTTATAATGACTGTTCTTATAATTCTTTATAATACGTCTTCTTATATTAATGTTCGTATATTATGTCTTCTTATAATGACTGTTCTTATACTACGTCTCTTATAATTAATGTTCGTATATTATGTCTTCTTATAATGACTGTTCTTATAATACGTCTTCTTCTATAATTAATGTTCGTATATTATGTCTTCTTATAATGACTGTTCTTATAATACGTCTTCTTATAATTAATGTTCGTATATTATGTCTTCTTATAATGTTCTTATACTGTCTTCTTATAATTAATGTTCGTATATTATGTCTTCTTATAATGACTGTTTTCTTATAATAATGTCTTCTCATAATTAATATGTATATTATGTCTTCTTATAATGACTGTTCTTATAATACGTCTTCTTATAATTAATGTTCGTATATTATGTCTTCTTATAATGACTGTTCTTATAATACGTCTTCTTATAATTAATGTTCGTATATTATGTCTTCTTGACTGTTTATAATGAATGTTCTTATATTATGTCTTCTTATAATTAATGTTCGTATATTATGTCTTCTTATAATGACTGTTCTTATAATACGTCTTCTTATAATTAATGTTCGTATATTATGTCTTCTTATAATGACTGTTCTTATAATACGTCTTCTTATAATTAATGTTCGTATATTATGTCTTCTTATAATGACTGTTCTTATAATACGTCTTCTTATAATTAATGTTCGTATATTATGTCTTCTTATAATGACTGTTCTTATAATACGTCTTCTCATAATTAATGTTCGTATATTATGTCTTCTTATAATGACTGTTCTTATAATACGTCTTCTTATAATTAATGTTCGTATATTATGTCTTCTTATAATGACTGTTCTTATAATACGTCTTCTTATAATTAATGTTCGTATATTATGTCTTCTTATAATGACTGTTCTTATAATACGTCTTCTATAATTAATGTTCGTATATTATGTCTTCTTTATAATGACTGTTCTTATAATAATAATTAATGTTCGTATATTATGTCTTCTTATAATGACTGTTCTTATAATACGTCTTCTTATAATTAATGTTCGTATGTATGTCTTGCCATATTTCCTTCTTATAATATGTCTTCTTATAAGACGATATTATATTATGTCTTGCCTGTGGCTATTTATTTATAATACGTCTTCTTATAGTGTGTTCGTATGTGTCTTCTTATAATGACTGTTCTTATAATACGTCTTCTCTAGTGTTCGTATTATGTCTTCTTATGACTGTTCTTATAATACGTCTTCTAATTAATGTTCGTATTATGTCTTACTTATAATGACTGTTCTTATAATCGTCTTCTCATAATTAATGTTCGTATATTATGTCTTCTTGCATAATGACTGTTCTTATAATACGTCTTCTTATAATTAATGTTCGTATGTGTCTTCTTATATTTATATTCTTATAATATCTTCTTATAATTAATGTTCGTATATTATGTCTTCTTATAATGGCTGTTCTTATAATACGTCTTCTTATAATTAATGTTCGTATATTATGTCTTCTTATAATCTTCTTATAATGACTGTTCTTATAATGCATCTTCTTAAATTATTATCGCTCAATTGCCTCTTCTTATAATGACTGTTCTTATAATACGTTTCTTATAATTAATGTCCGTATATTATGTCTACTTATAATGGCTATTTCTTATAATACGTCTTCTCATAATTAATGTTCGTATTGTCTTCTTATAATGACTGTTCGTATAATACGTCTTCCTCACCGATAATATTCATTATTATGTCTTCTTATAATGACTGTTCTTATAATACGTCTTCTTGCAAATTAATGTTCGTATATTAATGTTCGTATATTATGTCTTCTTATAATGACTGTTCTTATAATACGTCTTCTCATAATTAATGTTCGTATATTATGTCTTCTTATAATGACTGTTCTTATAATACGTCTTCTTATAATTAATGTTCGTATATTATGTCTTCTTATAATGACTGTTCTTATAATACGTCTTCTTATAATTAATGTTCGTATAATTATGACTGTTCGTATATTACTGTTCTATAATGTCTTCTTATAATGTCTTTCTGTCTTATAATGACTGTTCTTATAATACGTCTTCTCATAATTAATGTTCGTATATTATGTCTTCTTATAATGACTGTTCTTATAATACGTCTTCTCATAATTAATGTTCGTATATTATGTCTTCTTATAATGACTGTTCTTATAATACGTCTTCTCATATAATGTTCGTATATTATGTCTTTTTTATAATGACTGTTCTTATAATACGTCTTTATAATTAATGTTCGTATATTTGTCTTCTTATAATGACTGTTCTTATAATACGTCTTCTCATAATTAATGTTCGTATATTATGTCTTCTTATAATGACTGTTCTTATAATACGTCTTCTTCATAATTAATGTTCGTATATTATGTCTTCTTATAATGACTGTTCTTATAATACGTCTTCTCATAATTAATGTTCGTATATTATGTCTTCTTATAATGACTGTTCTTATAATACGTCTTCTTATAATTAATGTTCGTATATTATGTCTTCTTATAATGACTGTTCTTATAATACGTCTTCTATAATTAATGTTCGTATATTAATAATGAATATAATCGTCTTATAATTAATGTCTTCTTTATAATGACTGTTCTTATAATACGTCTTCTTTATAATTAATGTTCGTATATTATGTCTTCTTATAATGACTGTTCTTATAATTCTTCATAATACGTTCTTCTCTTTATAATGACTGTTCTTATAATACGTCTTCTTATAATTAATGTTCGTATATTATGTCTTCTTATAATGACTGTTCTTATAATACGTCTTCTCATAATTAATGTTCGTATATTATGTCTTCTTATAATGACTGTTCTTATAATACGTCTTTTCATAATTAATGTTCGTATATTATGTCTTCTTATAATGACTGTTCTTATAATACGTCTTATCATAATTAATGTTCGTATATTATGTCTTCTTATAATGACTGTTCTTATAATACGTCTTCTTCTTATAATGATAATTAATGTTCGTATATTATGTCTTCTTATAATGACTGTTCTTATAATACGTCTTCTTATAATTAATGTTCGTATATTATGTCTTCTTATAATGACTGTTCTTATAATACGTCTTCTTATAATTAATGTTCGTATATTATGTCTTCTTATAATGACTGTTCTTATAATACGTCTTCTCATAATTAATGTTCGTATATTATGTCTTTATAATGACTGTTCTTATAATACGTCTTCTTATAATTAATGTTCGTATATTATGTCTTCTTATAATGACTGTTCTTATAATACGTCTTCATAATTAATGTTCGTATATTATGTCTTCTTATAATGATATAATACGTTTCTCATATAATGTTCGTATATTATGTCTTCTTATAAACTGTTTATAATGTTCGTATATTATGTCTTCTTATAATGACTGTTCTTATAATACGTCTTCTCATAATTAATGTTCGTATATTATGTCTTCTTATAATGACTGTTCTTATAATACGTCTTCTCATAATTAATGTTCGTATATTATGTCTTCTTATAATGACTGTTCTTATAATACGTCTTCTCATAATTAATGTTCGTATATTATGTCTTCTTATAATGACTGTTCTTATAATACGTCTTCTTTATAATTAATGTTCGTATATTATGTCTTCTTATAATGACTGTTCTTATAATACGTCTTCTCATAATTAATGTTCGTATATTATGTCTTCTTATAATGACTGTTCTTATAATTCTTCTCATAATTAATGTTCGTATATTATGTCTTATAATGACTGTTCTTATAATACGTCTTCTTATAATTAATGTTCGTATATTATGTCTTCTTATAATGACTGTTCTTATAATACGTCTTCTCATAATTAATGTTCGTATATTATGTCTTCTTATAATGACTGTTCTTATAATACGTCTTCTCATAATTAATGTTCGTATATTATGTCTTCTTATAATGACTGTTCTTATAATACGTCTTCTTATAATAATGTTCGTATATTATGTCTTCTTATAATAATTAATATGTTCATAATTAATGTTCTGTATATTATGTCTTCTTATAATGACTGTTCTTATAATATAATTATGTTCGTATATTATGTCTTCTTATAATGACTGTTCTTATAATACGTCTTCATAATTAATGTTCGTATATTATGTCTTTATAATGACTGTTCTTATAATACGTCTTCTTATAATTAATGTTCGTATATTATGTCTTCTTATAATGACTGTTCTTATAATACGTCTTCTTATAATTAATGTTCGTATATTATGTCTTCTTATAATGACTGTTCTTATAATACGTCTTCTCATAATTAATGTTCGTATATTATGTCTTCTTATAATGACTGTTCTTAATACGTCTTCTCATAATTAATGTTCGTATATTATGTCTTCTTATAATGACTGTTCTTATAATACGTCTTCTCATAATTAATGTTCGTATGTCTTCTATAATGACTGTTCTTATAATACGTCTTCTCATAATTAATGTTCGTATATTATGTCTTCTTATAAATTAATGTTGTATATTATGTCTTTATAATGACTGTTCTTATTCGTCTTCTTATAATTAATGTCGTATATTATTCTTATAATGACTGTTCTTATAATACGTCTTCTTATAATTAATGTTCGTATATTATGTCTTCTTATAATGACTGTTCTTATAATACGTCTTCTTATAATTAATGTTCGTATATTATGTCTTCTTATAATGACTGTTCTTATAATACGTCTTCTTATAATTATGTTCGTATATTATGTCTTCTTATAATGACTGTTCTTATAATACGTCTTCTCATAATGTTAATGTTCTTATATACTGTTCTTATAATGTCTTCTTATAATGTTCGTATATTGTTCTTATAATGACGTTCTTATAATACGTCTTCTCATAATTAATGTTCGTATATTATGTCTTCTTATAATGACTGTTCTTATAATACGTCTTCTCATAATTAATGTTCGTATATTATGTCTTCTTATAATGACTGTTCTTATAATACGTCTTCTTATAATTAATGTTCGTATATTATGTCTTCTTATAATGACTGTTCTTATAATACGTCTTCTCATAATTAATGTTCGTATATTATGTCTTCTTTTTATAATGACTGTTCTTATAATACGTCTTCTTATAATTAATGTTCGTATATTATGTCTTCTTATAATGACTGTTCTTATAATACGTCTTCTCATAATTAATGTTCGTATATTATGTCTTCTTATAATGACTGTTCTTATAATACGTCTTCTCATAATTAATGTTCGTATATTATGTCTTCTTATAATGACTGTTCTTATTTTTTGTCTTCTTATAATTAATGTTCGTATATTATGTCTTCTTATAATGACTGTTCTTATAATACGTCTTCTTATAATTAATGTTCGTATATTATGTCTTCTTATAATGACTGTTCTTATAATACGTCTTCTTATAATTAATGTTCGTATATTATGTCTTCTTATAATGACTGTTCTTATAATACGTCTTCTCATAATTAATGTTCGTATATTATGTCTTCTTATAATGACTGTTCTTATAATACGTCTTCTCATAATTAATGTTCGTATATTATGTCTTCTTATAATGACTGTTCTTATAATACGTCTTCTCATAATTAATGTTCGTATATTATGTCTTCTTATAATGACTGTTCTTATAATACGTCTTCTTCATAATTAATGTTCGTATATTATGTCTTCTTATAATGACTGTTCTTATAATACGTCTTCTCATAATTAATGTTCGTATATTATGTCTTCTTATAATGACTGTTCTTATAATACGTCTTTAATACGTAATGTCCGTGTACATTATGTTCTTTTTACCTAAATGACTGTTCTTAATAATAATAGTCTTCATACCACGTTCGTATATTATGCGGGGTCTTCTTATACGACTATTTCTTATAATACGTCTTCTCCTTAATATTTATGTATGTTCGTATATTACGTCTTTCTTTATATTTGATTATTCTTATAATATTTATTCTTCTAATACGTCTTCTAATTAATGTTCATATATTGTCTTCTTATAATGACTATTTCTTATAATATGCTCTTCTTATAATTAATACCGTATATTATGTCTTCTTATAATGACTGTTCTTATAATACGTCTTCCTACAATTAATGTTCGTATATTATGTCTTCTTATAATGACTGTTTCTTATAATACGTCTTCTTATAATTAATGTTCGGTATATTATGTCTTCTTATAATGACTTTGTTCTTATAATACGTCTTCTTATAATTAATGTTCGTATATTATGTCTTCTTATAATGACTGTTTCTTATAATACGTCTTCTCATAATTAATGTTCGTATATTATATGTACCTGTCTCTTTATGAATGACTGTTCTCATAATTAGTATTTCGTACAATTAATGTCTTATTATAGTCTTATAAATGACTGTTCTTATATTACGTCTTCTATATTAATGTTCGTATATTATGTCTTCTTATAATGACTGTTCTTAATTGGAGATGTAAACAAAGATAATTTTATATATATATATATATATATATATATATATATATATATATGTATATATATATATATATATATATATATATGTATTTAGGCAGCATATATTCTTTCATGCACATTTCATTGAATCCAACAACAAAGTGTTTTATTTTTTTTTTTATACAATTTCTCATCATGATGTAATATTTTTTTTTTTTTTCAGATGATAAATTATATAAAAACTGTCTGAATGTTCTTTTTATCATTGAGCGCTTTTGGCTATACATTTAGCCATTTTCAAGGATTAAATATTTTAACTGTTAAATAAGAAAAGGTTTGGTGGCATATATGTTTTATAAAATGTTTTCATTTTTCAAAAAGGTTACATGAGAAATTATAAAAATAAATAAAGCACCATGTCTATATTACAAATAAAATGTACATGAAAGAATGATTTGCTGCCCTTTAAATATATATATATATATCTATATATATATATATATATGTATATATATCATTATTATTATTATTATTATTACAAAAAGATTATAATAAAACATGTTAAATCGCTACACAAAAATTTTATGTTTTAAGCACTTTGATTGTCTTCTTCAGGCGATGGCAAGTAACTTTTAGTGTTTTTTATTATAATCTTTATATTAATAATAATAATAATATATTGCTCTACTTTGTATTGCCTTTCTTAATATATATATATATATATATATATATACTATATGTTCAAACTATAGCCCTGACATTTTTTTTCGAAATATGGTAGGGTGGGTTATATAACATTGTGGTTATATATGAATTGTATCTTCGAACCTTGATTACCGGTGTTAGGTTTAGGATACATAGCTTCACAATAAACCACTTATTTTCAGATAATTGAATTTATAGGGTAGGTTATATTAAGGTGCGGACTATAGTGCGGAAAATAAAGTACACACACTGTTTTTTGCTTGTATGCATCTACAGTGCAGAATAATTTCCTGACAATCTGCCAATAATCTCATGACCATTA